CAAATTAGGTTGTGTTCCACAGATGCAGCTTCGAGGCTGGATCCGTGTAAAGGTATGGATCTGGTTGAGAAAGTGGACACTGCTACCTGGTTGGAATGAGCCACGGAGTTGAGCCAAATGCGTCGGATGACAATAGAATCGGATATNTTGTGTTCCACAGATGCAGCTTCGAGGCTGGATCCGTGTACTGGTATGGAATTGGTTGAGAAAGTGGACACTGCTACCTGGTTAGAGTCTGCCAACGATTTGAGAATATTGAGCCGGAAGAAACTGGAATCGGATTTAAAGAAATTGAGGCGAGATGGATCACAATACTGATAGAATTATGTAACAAATTATGTTTTGTTCCACAGATGAAGCTTCCAGTCTGGAGCCGTGTACTGGTATGGAATTGGTTAAGAAAGTGGACACTGCTACTTGGTTAGAATGAGCCACGGAGTTGAGCCAGTTGAGTCGGATGAAAATGGAATCGGATATATATATATATGTAGTAGTGCGAGATGGGTCACAATACTAATAGATGTATGTACCAAATTAGGTTGCGTTCCACAGATGCAGCTTCGAGGCTGGATCCGTGTACTGGTATGGAATTGGTTGAGAAAGTGGACACTGCTACCTGGTTAGAATGAGCCACGGAGTTGAGCCAGTTGAGTCGGATGAATATGGAATCGGATATATATATAGTAAGTTAACTTTAGTCAAAATACTTATAGAAGTATGTACCAAATTATTTTGTGTTCCACAGATGCAGCTTCGCGGCTGGTTCCGTGTACTGGTATGGAATTGGTTGAGAAAGTGGACACTGCTACCTGGTAACAATGAGCCACGGAGTTGAGCCAGTTGAGTCGGATCAAAATGGAATCGGATATATATACATGTAGTGGTGCGAGAAGGGTCACAATACTGATAGAAGTATGTACGAAATTAGGTTGTGTTCCAGAGATGCAGCTTCGAGGCTGGATTCGTGTACGGGTATGGAATTGGTTGAGAAAGTGGACACTGCTAACTGGTTAGAATGTGCCACGGAGGTGAACCAATTGATTCCGAGGAATATGGATTCGGATATAAAGAAACTAAGGCGAGATGGGTCACAATACTGATAGAAGTATGTACCAAATTAGGTTGTGTTCCACAGATGCAGCTTCGAGGCTGGATCCGTGTACTGGTATGGAATTGGTTGAGAAAGTGGACACTGCTACCTGGTTAGAATGTGCCACGGAGTTGATCTAATCGAGTCGGATGTAACTGTAATCGCATATTAAGAAATTAGGCGAGATGGCTCACAATAATGATAGAAGTTTGTACCAAATTAATTTGTGTTCCACAGATGCAGCTTCGAGGCTGAATCCGTGTACTGGTATGGAAATGGTTGAGAAGCTGGATGTTCCACAGATGCAGCTTCGAGGCTGGATCCGTGTACTGGTATGGAATTGGTTGAGAAACTTCCCACAGATGCAGCTTCGAGGCTGGATCCGTGTACTGGTATGGAATTGGTTGAGAAGGTGGTTAAATTAGGCAAGATGGTTCACAATACTTATAAAAGTATGTACCAAATTAGGTTGTGTTCCGACGCAGCTTCGAGGCTGGATCCGTGTACTGGTATGGAATTGGTTGAGGAAGTGGACACTGCTACCTGGATAGAATGTGCCACGGATTTGATCCCATTGATTCCGAGGAAAATGGATTCGGATATAAAGAAATTAAGGTGAGATGGGTCACAATACTGAAAGATGTATGTACCAAATTAGGTTGTGTTCCACAGATGCAGCTTCCAGGCTGGATCCGTGTACTGGTATGGAATTGGTTGAGAAAGTGGACACTGCTACCAGGTGAGAATGTGCCACGGAGTTAAGCCAATCGAGTCGGATGAAACTGGAATTGCATACAAATAAATTAGGCGAGATGGGTCACAATACTGATAGAAGTATCTTCCAAATTAATTTGTGTTCCACAGATGCAGCTTCGAGGCTGGATCCGTGTACTTGTATGGAATTGGTTGAGAAACTGAGACACTGCTCTACCTGGTTAGCATGTGCCACGGAGTTGAGCCAATTGAGTCGGATGAAAATGGAATCGGATATAAACGAGGCTGGATCCGTGTACTGGTATGGAATTGGTTGAGAAGGTGGACACTGCTACCTGGTCAGCATGTGCCACGGAGTTGAGCCAATTGAGTCGGATGAAAATGGAATCGGATACATATATAGTAGCATGTGCCACGGAGTTGAGCCAATTGAGTCGGATGAAAATGGAATCGGATATATATCAAGTAACGCGAGATGGGTCACAATACTGATAGAAGTATGTACCGAATTAATTTGTGTTCCACAAATGCAGCTTCGAGGCTAGATCCGTGTACTGGTATGGAATTGGTTGAGAAAGTGGACACTGCTACCTGGTGAGGATGTGCCACGTAGTTGAGCCAATTGAATTGAATGAAAATGGAATCTGATTTATATACACATAGTAGTGTGAGATGGGTCCCAATACTGATAGAAGTATGTAGAAAATTAGGTTGTGTTCCACACATGCAGCTTCGAGGCTTGATCCGTATACTGGTATGGAATTGGTTGAGAATATGGACACTGCTACCTGGTTAGCATGTGCCAGGGAAATGAGCCAATTGACTCGATTGAAAATGGAATCGCAGATAAATAAGCTAAGGCGAGATGGGTCACAATACTGAAAGATGTATGTAGCAAATTAGGTCGTGTTCCACACATGCAGCTTCGAGGCTGGATCCGTGTACTGGTATGGAATTGGTTGAGAAAGTGGACACTGAACCCGGTTACAGTTTCCTACGGAATTTAGCCAGTTGAGTCGGATGAAAATGAAATCCGATTTTAAGACATTAAGGCGAGATGGGTCACAATATTGATGGAAGTATGTACCAAGTTAGGTTGTCTTCCGCAGAGGCAGCTTCGAGGCTGGATCCGTGTACTGGTATCGAATTGGTTGAGAAAGTGGACACTACTACCTGGTTAGAATGTGCCAAGGAGTTGAGCCAGTTGAGTCGGATGAAAATGGAATCGGATATGTATGAATTAAGGCAAGATGGGTCACAATACTGATAGAGGTGTGTAGCAAATTAGGTTGTGTTCCAAAGTTGCAGCTTCAAGGCTGAATCCGTGTACTGGTATGGAATTGGTTGAGAAAGTGAACACTGCTACCTGGTTAGAATGTGCCACGGAGTTGAGCCAGTTGAGTCGGATGAAAATGGACTCGGATATATATAAATTATGGCGAAGTGCGTCACAATACTGATAGAAGTATGTACCAAATTAGGTTGTGTTCCACAGATGCAGCTTCGAGGCTGGATCCCTGAACCGGTATGGAGTTGGTTGAGAAAGTGGACACTGATACCTGGGTTTCAGGTGCCACGGAACTGAGCCAGTTGAGTCTTATGAAAATGGAATCGGATATAAAGACATTAAGGCGAAATTGGGCACAATACTGATAGAAGTGTGTACCAAATTAGGTTGTCGTCCACAGATGCATCTTCGAGGCTGGATCCGTGTACTGGTATGGAATTGGTTGAGAAAGTGGACACTGCTACCTGGTTAGAATGTGCCACGGTGTTGAGCCAATTGAGTCGGATGAAAAATGAAATCGCATATGAAGGAACATTGCGAGTTGGGTCACAATACTGATAGAAGTATGTACCAAATTAGGTTGTGTTCCACAGATGCAGCTTCGAGGCTGGATCCGTGTACTGGTATGGAATTGGTTAAGAAAGTGGACGCTGTTACCTGGTGACAATGAGCCTCGGAGTTGAGCTAGTTGCGTCGGATGAAAATGGAATCGGATATATATATAGGTAGCATTGCGAGATGGGTCACAATACTGATAGAGGTATGTACCAAATTAGATTGTGTTCCACAGATGCAGCTTCGAGGCTTGATCCGTGTACTGGTATGGAATTGGTTGAGAAGGAGAACCCTGCTACCTGGTTAGAATTTGCCACGGAGTTGAGCCAGTTGAGTCGGATGAAAATGGAATCGGATATATATAAATTAGTGAGAGATGAATCACAATACTGATAGAAGTATGTACCAAATTAGGTTGTGTTCCGCAGAGGCAGCTTCGAGCCTGGATCCGTGTACTGGTATGGAATTGGTTGAAAAAGTATACGCTGGTGCCTGGTTGGCGCGTGCCACGGACTTGAGCCAGTTGAGTTGGATGAAGATGCAGTCGGATATATATATGTAGTAGTGCGAGATGGGTCACAATACTGATAGATGTATGTACCAAATAAATGAGCTTCGAGGCTGGATCCGTGTACTGGTGGGAAATTGGTTGAGAAAGTGGACACTGCTACCTGGTTAGCATGTGCCACGGAGTTGAGCCAGTTGAGGTGGGATGGAATTGGAATCGGATATAAAGACATTTAGGCGAGATGGGTCACAATACTCTATGTACCAAATAGTTGTGTTCCACAGATGCAGCTTCGAGGCTGGATCCGTGTACTGGTATGAGTAATTGGGTGAGAAAGTCGACACTGCTACGCGGTTGGCATGTGCCACGGAGTTGTGGCAGTTGAGTCGGATGAAAATGGAATCGGTTAGATGTAAAATAAGGCGGGATGGG